TGTTGTAGGCAGAGGCATTGCTGCAAAAATGAGCATTTAGGAAAGGTCTGAATGAAACAAAAATAGAAGTGAATGTGACACTACTGTGTGTAAAATACTGAGTGCAGCACACAGGAGCTACATACTTCAACAGAGGGCAGTGTCTGGTTGTCCTGTGAGCAAACTTTACCTGGGTCCTTCTACATTTTATTTGTTTGAAGACACGATTCTTGTGTACTAATGTGAATGCACTATTCTGTAGGCTCCTAACATTGAGTCACTAGTGTAATACTGGTGAATGCAAGGCTAAATAAATTGACAAAAGTAGCATTTGTTGTGCCCAATCCTGCTCCTGTTAAAGCCAGTGGCAAAACTTCGATTAAATGGCCATAACTAAAATCACTGGAATATTAAGAATTAATAAAATACTTTGGAATTAAAAAGGGATCAAAAGTTGGAATTATTCTAACTCAGAGCTGTTCCTTTCTCTACTGATGGTAAGGAGTTGGCAAGACAACCTCATGGTCTTGAATCGTGCTGGGGGAAGAGCTGGGTCCAGAGAGAGAACCTCTTATGTGCAGAGCGTACCAAAAATGCTCTATTAAGAATAGAGATTACATTAAAAAGTATGTTAATGCAATACAAGTTTGCAGCATTAGAATTCCCCAAAGTTAGGAAGTAAAACAGCTAAGCTTCCAGTGGCAATGCTGACTCCCCTCTCTTGTGTATCCTATGCATTTTATGGTATGTGGGTTTTACAACAACACAAGGAGCTTGTTAAACCAGCCACTGAAACAGAAACAGATTTTTAAAAATATTCCATACAAGCAAAGTGTCTGGGCTTATATTACTAGCAGGATGTCTCTTTTTGCTAGCCTCAATACCATTTCCCTTGTATAGAAGAAATGATCTCTTCCTATGAAATCTTAGTATTTAAGTGGTGCCTGTTTGAAGGCACTGAAGTTCCTACCTTGATGAGGCTGGTAGAATGACATCCCACCTCTTCTGTCATGTTTGGCTGGTGAGAGATTTCTGAGGTTGCCTTATTGTGATGACCAAATCTCCCTAATGGAAAAGTTCAGCTACTGGTACTTTCCTTACTTTCTGGATGTTTATTTCTTAAAAAGTGGTGAAGGGACTCTAAAACTACAGCTCTGATTTTTATTTTTTGTTTCTGTGCTTTGTCTGATGGAAAGGCAACTTGGGTTATATTTGGCTCTAGTAAAATCATGGCAGATGTGTTCAATATGCATAGAAATTGTTTTGTTTGTTTTCCCTATATTCAAATTACACCAAGTCCCCAACTATTTTAGTTGTATTTCAAATGTCAAGTCTTTTTGCTGTGGTACTATTCACAATTTGGTCGGTCTGTCTGTCTGTCTGTCTGTCTGTCTGTCTGTCCCATTAGAGCAAAAGTCTGTTTTTATTCTTCCTTGCAAGGGCTTACAAATAGCTAACAGGACTTTGCCAAGATGCACAAACCTCCACCCTCAGGTCATCCAGTGCTGGAAATTTCACGTATATTGTTGATAGTTTTAGGAATTGTAGTTTGTAAAGAAGGGCTTACAATGGAGCTATTTTCAGCCTTAGCTATAGGAGATACTAATAATAGGTGTCTTTTTAAAAAAAACAAATGCAGCTAATGAGTGAAGGAGACCACATTCAGCTATGCTTCCAGTTTTCTAGTTACAAAGTTCTAGAATTAGGGTCAGATCCTTTTCCATTCATTAGGCATCTAAGTGGATTTAGGCAGAAAAATGTGATTGTGTTCCAGTCTGCTCAGATCCCTGGAAATTTGTCAGTGCACCTACTTTTGTAACAGGCCAACATCTTACCTTCACGATTTAGAGTAATAAAAAGCAGTGGGCAGGAAGAGGACCCAATCTATCTTTTTTCAAGGGATTTAAGCAGGGAAGAATAGGGTCATACAGAAAATATTGAGAGATGTAATATCAAAGGATGCTTAGTGTGCTAATTGTGATGCAACTGCTACATCTGCATGTTTCTGTAGCAATACAAGTATAGCAAAACTGCTCCAAGTTTAGCCTTATTTCATTGAGGTTCAAGGTTAGGTTGATTCAGCTTGCTTTTATCACTACAGGATCATGTCGACCTAATAGTATGAATATAGCAGGTACCATATGTGAATAACAGCTTCCCCTCCCTTTTTAAAGTGGTTAAAATATACATTTGTCCATACCCTTTGCTGCCTAATAGGTGGAACAGAATCTGATGCTTACGGTATGAAGGAAAATATTAACGCTTTGTATCCTAAGAGTAACCTTTCCCCCTGCCACATTTTTAAATGCATTTCAAGGTGATTTTTAAAATCTCTTTTCTGCAGTATATTGAGGTGGTGGGAAAGTCTTAAGGCCTCTATCATAGGATTTCTTCCAGTGCTCTGGCACTTTTCTCTGAGTCTGCAGGACACAACATCATTTTGTGCTGGGATGAAGATGTGCTTTCTTACAGAAGGGGATTGAGGTGGGACCACAGATTTGTTGAAGAATCAGCTGCAGACTAGAAGTTCTATTCTTGATCTCTGACTTCCTTCTCTAAACGTCTAACAACCACATTCACATGCTCCAGCAGTTAAAAGCAAACATGATGATTCAAGGGATTCTGAGGCTGAGCCACTGAGCTACAAAAAAGCTTTGGACAGACCACCTCAGTCCTCTGGGCCCTCCTTTTCCCCTTTACGGTTTAATATGACCATTATGATACTCACTTAATTTACATGGGGCTGGATTAGGTAAAGTCTTGAGGGGATTTAGAGGTTCATGGATGAAAAGGTCAATAGAAAGGCAAGGAACCAGTTGGGGCATTTGTGTATTATCTTCAGAATTTATGTAACAATACCAGCAGTATAGGGACACAACATAGGGACATACCCAGGGCATGGGCAGTGGTGATTTCTGATGGCCAGTCATGGTTGCAATTGTGCAGTTGCTGTTAGCAACTACTTCTTTTCTCCCCCCCTGCTAAGTCAGTGCCAAGGTAAATTACCCCATTAACCCTGCCTTAGTTACACCATGGAGCAATACATATATTAAAGGAAATTATTTCCCCAATGTGACTGCTAACTTTGGATTCCTCTGTTTGGGGGAATCTGGCTTTGACGTGCCATGGCCCGCTTTGCAGTAGTACTGCACACACACGGTTCCATTTGAAGGTACTGTGACTGCTCAATGTCTCTCCAACTGAGACCCAATGTATCTCGTGTTAGACACCCAACAAAAGAAAGCCTAAATGACAATGCAGTTCAGTGTTAATCAAATTCAAGATTTGATGTCCTGTTACATAACCTTAGACCTTGGTGTTTATCTCAACAGATATCAATGGGTCAAATATGGCAGTAAAGTATCTTTATGAAAGTCAGTGGACAAGACATCTTTATTGAAATCAGTGGAATCTGGGTTGAATCTGCTGCACTGTTTATGGGGGATAGGAAAACATCTCATATAGCACTTCTCATCTGTAGATATGGGGCTATGTCTACATCACAGATTTACAAAGCTAGCCAACAACATGCTTAATCATGCCAAATTGCTCCACACGTGCTACCTCTCAAATGGGAAGCAAGGGGCTTGTGTAGCAAGGCAGGTTGGCTAGTTGGCTGTCTTTCTACAGTGCTAATTATCCCAGCTACAGCATCGCATAAATATAGTTATACTGCATCCAGTTGCAGAGGTAGCGCATGGAGCAGCACAGCATACTTCCGTGTGCTGCTGCTTCATATGGTAAATTTGCAGAACCTTAGCCACTGGTCCATTCAGCAAGAATGAGACTGTTGGGAATGACCTACAGTGTTTTTGCTTCCCTAAAAACAACAAAGTTAAATCCAGCCATATTTACTCAGGCAAAAGGTATATTGACTTCAAAGGATGCACTGTATATGCCTGGGCAGTAGGAGATGGCCTTACAGTAAGGTAATTGTTTTTTACTAGTTATTTTCATGAGGGATCATTAGTGGCATAGAGTGCAGATAATCCCAAGAAGCTTTAAACTAGTCAGCTCAGGTACCAGTCTCAACTGAGCCACATGGCAGCACAATTGAGTTAATTGCCTGAGTATTTACCCAGCTCAATGGGAATGCAGTATTTTTAATAATGATGTCTAATGTTATGTGGTGGTAAAAATGTTGGCATGCTGTCTATGCTAACATGTGTGCCAGCAGAGCTGAACTGGAACAAGCTGCAACTGTGGGAGATAACACCAGAACCTACTGCAGAGAAGGCCACTTTGCCTTCAACTTTTTCTACTGTTCTCTCTATCCTGTTACTCACCTGGAGCTGCAACTCAGTGAAGTTTACCTCTGAGTCCAATTACCACGGAGAGCTATGTATCCTGTTGAGATGTCCCTACTGCTGCTATGCACTTAGGAGTCAGAAAGGGCTGACCGAAGCCCAGGTTCCTGAAACTGAGTAACTTGTTCTGCTGAGCTAATGGCAGCCAGTGAGGGATGGTTGCCGCCTGGGGGTTCGTCTAGCCTAGAGAGCTTTGTCAATACCCGGACACTAGTTTACAGGAACACTCCTGATCAAATGGAGCTTGGGGCACAGGAACTTTATTTTCAGTCTCCAAAATGTTTGAGTTTTTTTTGCAGAGTCCCTTTAGAAATGGTCTCACCTCAGCACTACTAACCCAGGCATCCATTGCAGTTTATTCTGCAGCAGGAATATAAACTTTTATGGAAAAGGGTTGGAGCACAACACAGAATGTAAAACTCTGCTCCTACTCTGTCAGAGTCCTCAAATTCTGCTTATTTTTTTAATGTGTTAATGAGTCAGATCCAAACTGTCATTTGTGCTGTTCGGTTTCTCTTTGTGCGCTGAATTTTGTTCACTTGCTCTGCATGCCTCAAGTTGCTGTAAATGCTGCTGGGGAAGTAATTCCCTTGCACTTTCCCTTTCCTATGCCCACGGATGACCGTGGGGACTCCTCCTCCCTGGGTGCAGTGCAGAGTTTAAAGCCCAGCTTTTGCTGCTTTGCTTAAGACCTGGTTATTTTTTTTTTTTTTTTTTTTTTTTTGTCAGCTGCCTGTTATATCAATCACGGAGCTGGGATCTATTTATAGGTTGGGACTCGGAGTACTGTGTCCTAGTCACAAAGAGAGGCAGAGACGCAGAAGGGACTGTCGGTTGGTGCGGGTGGAACCAAAAGATATTTAATCAGCAATTAGAAACACCTGAGGGCAAGGGAAATTCTACTCCAGCCCTGTGCTTCATCTCTCAACCTGCAGCATGTAAGTACCCAACTTCTCCCTTTTATTGTAATTTTTTTTTTTTTGTTCCAAATATCTCCCTGCACCGATCATTTTATCTGGGCTTAAAATCCTGGCAGCATCACAATGTGGCTAAAGGAAATTATTTTTGCCATTTTCACACTGTCAAAGGAAGGTCAGGGTGACCCAGGCGCTGAGGAGTTGATCTCAGAACTTTATGTAAATCTGTCAGCTTCACTATTCAAGTGGGTGGCTTTTGGGTTGTTTTTTTTTTTTT